ACTAAATAATAATAATAATAAAAGCATTACAGCAGATATGACCATCTTTGTGGTATATTATTGTCAAGCTGTATGTATAAAAGTATATAGTCGATATGGTACTTTTTATACTTATCTAAAGCCATTATTCTGCCTTGTATTAGAAAGGGCGTAGATTTGTAGTAGTGTGATAGAAAATTGCTACAAGTACACATTCACTCCATCATATTGAAACTTGGCTGTAATATATCGGGTAACTGGTTTTGGGTATAAGCGTGTTAATGAACCGGGTTATTAATAGGTTTTATTTCCTTTCGTGAACCTGGTTCGCACCACAGTTCATTATTACCATAGTAAAATTCATTGCAGAACAGCCGTTATATAAGCAAACTATTCTTTTTTTTTCTTTGCTTAAAGAATTTAGCAATTTTAGCTTTAAATACATAACCGTTACAAAACGTACCTTGATCAATAATGTCAGACAAAAAATTAATTTTATTGGCTGATTTCATTTAATTTTTTGTTTCAATCGTTTCGATATCTTTAGACCGGCCATCACCTTAGAGTTTAAACAGCACGTGATTGCTTACATCATTCCTGCTTGCATCATTCTTGTTTGCGTCAGTCAACAGATGTTTTGCTGATATAATTGTGAGGTGCTGATTGTAATAGCCCTGCAATAACTTCAAATACACATTTACATTGCATGATGGTATGTATATAAAAGAAAGTCTGTCATTCGTTTAACTAATCAAATTTAACGTTCATGTTCTAATTGTATATAAAAGAAACGCGTTGTGTCATAGCTAAGAGGCATTAAGACTTCTAAGAGGCAATCTAGGCTAATGGACCCACGTCAAGATTCCGTGATATATTGGCAGCTCTTGTCTGTATTTCACGTCAAGATTCCGTGAAGTACAGTTGACCTTGTTATGATGCGACACGATAAATCTTCAAGTCCATCATCTGAAGTAAGTTTTATTTTTGTACAGGCTTTTTTAAAATGTAACGTCTAATGCTAATTGTTTTATCTCTTGGAATCTGATTTTCTCTGTATTATACGCTTAGGTCCCGTAATGTACAGCCGTCATTACTGGGGCGGAAGGTATGGCGAGTATTGTGTCATAGGACAGGGGCGTCACTTCCTCTAATGGCAGTCTAGGCTGGTATGTCTACGTCAAGGTCCCGTAGTATACTAGCAGCTCTTGTCTGTATTGCGCGTCAAGATTCCGTGCAATACAGTTGACCTTTCTATGGCACAATACATTAAATTTCCAAGTCCATCATCTGAAGTAAGTTTTATATTTATACAAGATTTTTTAAATGCACAAAAGTCTAATTTTCATTTTCATTTTCATTTTTTAGAATATGTTGTTAATAAAAGTAACTCTTCTGAGAATAAACTCTTTGTTCCGATAACCACTTATCGCATGTCTTATCATTTTTTGAATAATTAGAATATAACAGCTTATATTTATTTCAAAGGGTTTAAGCCCACCAAATACATTATAAGAATAGTTACTTTATTATTATTAATAAATGAGATGTAAAAGAGAAGAATATGAGACCAAACTAGTGTAGGAAACAAGGAAACATTTAAACAAAAATGAGTGTCAAATTGTGATATACGAATAAATTGAAAAGAAACAATAAGTTCTATGAGTGTTATTTGTTAAATAGAGTCAGTATTGTATTGCTTATATATATTAATATTAAAGCTTCTTGTAATCCGAGTTCCTGTTGTTTAATGGTTGGTTTACATTGTGTAAGTGTGCAGTGTATATGTACCTGGCGTATAACAGTTCCAGAGGTTGTTAACTTACCGGGTCCGTTAGCAATAAGGAATCAGTGTTTGGTTGTGGAATCTGTGCCTCAGTCAATTGTGGTGTATATACTACACTTTGCAGTAAGAGCATTAGTAACTCATAGAGGACTGGGTAAAGGATAATACGAGTACAGAGTCAGATGGGAAGGCTATAAAGAAAAGGACGATACATGGAAAAAGCCTAAGTGATTTAACAGCCCTAAACATATTGCGGATTATTGAGATCGGCCTGGTACAGCACTAATTAACAAGACACAACCACCGCATCAGACACGTACTGTTCTGCAAAGTACATTAAAAAACCCCGCACTACGCAACCCACATCTACACGCCAAAGAAAAAGCTCAAGATGCTAATGCCGCATGCTAGTGTTCAAGAAGCTAACGTAGTTCCCTTAGTTTAAGGTAAATTGATTCTCTCGACACGGTTATTCAGCCTGGGAGGAGGTAATGTGATATAAATAACACAATTTTTTGGTGCATACTCCATAATCAAACACTGGCTTCTTCTTACTAATGAACCTGACAAGTTAACAATCTCCGGAACTGTTACACACCAAGAATACGTACACCACATACTTAAACAGTGTAAACCAACAATTACACAACATGCATTTGGATTACAAGGAAATTTAATAGTAATGTGTGTAAACAATATAATTTTGACTCTCTTTAATAAATCACTCTCACAGTATCTACTTTTCCCATATCGACATATTAACCCTAAATCAATCCCGAATACCTCAAATTCCATTCTTCAAAAATTTTAAAGCACTTAGCCCCCTCCCTTGACCTTGAAGTTAGCGAGGGACCACTATACATACACGTATTTTTGTATAAAAACACAAAGGCTTGTATTATTTAGTTGAATTCTTTAGAAGTAATAACATAACGAAATTGACGTGTACTTTTATTTGGGACTACTAGAAACCAAGAAATCTAACGATGATTTCTCTGATGAGAATGTATATATATTATGTATTATGTACGAACTATTTGTTACTATTATTATTAGAAAACCATGTTTCACATAAAAGTCTAATTGAATCATATAATCATATCTTAAAAGCCTACTACTTGGGCAGATTAAGAAAATTGAGCAAACTGTGGAAAATAGAAATGTTATGTGTATTGAGGACCCTTCTAGGATGGACGTCCCTGTCCGGCTTCAAAGCAATTGTTTGCCTTTGTTAGAAGCAACAAATATTGCTTACCAGCAAAAGTACAACAAAAATTCAAAACATGCTTTATCAGTATTATTCTTTATTAAATTTACTAATAAAAAAATAGTAGTAAATGAATCAAATTATTAGCTAGCAACTGATGACTTTATACTTTTCATCTTTTATAAAAAATTAAACAGATCGAATTATATCTAAATTTTTTATATTCATTTAAAGACAAATAAACATAACTAGCAACTTTTTTTTTAATTAGCTTTAAGCAGGGAAGTCCGAATCTTTTTATAGCAAAACGAACCTTTGATAAGATAAAGAAATATTTTAAATCATTCTTATATATAAATATTCCTATGGTAAGATAGATACCAAGTAGTAGATTCTTACTATAAATCCAAGTAAAGTCTGTTTGCTTTTATTGTACAGAGAGAACATTATAATTATTTCTTTAATACGTATATACTAATCCAAGCCTACTAATATCAGTTGGGTCAATGATAAATGCACCAGATACAGGGAGTTCAATAATTTGAATCATTGTGGGAGAAAGGAGACTGATCAGTACTATCGTCGTCCTTGGGTGCTGTGTTACGAGTATGAATGTCTTCTGGAAGTTCCACGATATCAATCATTGCTCTAGAAACGAATATAACCGGAATACTCAGAGTGGTTGGTGTAGATGTGCCAGACGTGGTTAGATCGGTTGTACTGGGCGAACGAGTTCTTGTATAGGAACCAGATTGGAAGGAACTAACACCATCTAGTTCTGACATAACTAAGTTTGGATCCGCTGAAGACAAATCAGAAGCGGGAGTTCCTGTACCGGATGCAGATGGTGAAGGTTCACCACTAGCATGCTCTAATGGAGTTAACAGAGTTGTATCTTCTAGATTCTCAATTGGAGGAGTTCGTTTACCGGACACAGATAGTAAAAGTTCACCACTAGCAGGCTCTGATACAATTAATGGAGTCGTGCCTTCTAGATTCTCAATTTGAGGAGTTCGTTTACCGGATACAGATGGTAAAAGTTCACCACTAGCAGGCTCTGATACAATTAATGGAGCCGTGTCTTCTATATCTTCAGTTGGAGGAGTCCCTTTACCGGACCCAAATGGTAAAAGTTCACCACTATCAGGCTCTGATACAATTAACGGAGTCGTGCCTTCTAGATTCTCAATTTGAGGAGTTCGTTTACCGGATACAGATGGTGAAAGCTCACCACTTGCAGGCTCTGATACAATTAATGGAGCCGTGTCTTCTATATCTTCAGTTGGAGGAGTCCCTTTACCGGACCCAAATGGTAAAAGTTCACCACTATCAGGCTCTGATACAATTAACGGAGTCGTGCCTTCTAGATTCTCAATTTGAGGAGTTCGTTTACCGGATACAGATGGTGAAAGCTCACCACTTGCAGGCTCTGATACAATTAATGGAGTCGTGTCTTTTAGATCCTCAGGAGGAGTCCCTTTATCAGACCCAGATTGTGAGGGTCTACCACTAGCTGGTTTTGATGTAATTGATGTAGATTTTCCCTCTAGATCCGCAGGCGGGGGAGTTCTTTTACTAGAAGAAGCTGGAGACGGTCTACCACTTATATGGGATAATTTAATTGCTGGAATAGAATCAACGTTATTATCATTTGTGGGAGTTCCTGTGCCTGATACAATTGGAGAAGGTCTACCACTAGCTGATTTTGATCGAATCGCTGCAGTAGAATCAATGTTATTATAATCCGCGGGGTTTTCTGTGCTGGAGTCTTCTAGGTCTGTAATCAGAGGAGACCCTTTATCGGAAGCAGTTGAAGAAGGTCTACCACTAGCTGGTCTCGATATAATTGTTGTAGAGATGTATTCTATACCCGCAATAACAGGAGTTCCTTTTCCGGAAGTAGCAGGAGAAGGTCTACCACTGGTATGTCTTGCTGTTATCGCTTCAGCAGAATCAATGTCGTTACCGGCTGTTTGAATTCTTGTACCGGACGCAGATGATGAAATCCCACTACTATCTGGACTTGCAGTAATTGATGTGCTAGAATCTATTGGATTATTGCTTTCGGTAACTGTTGTACCTGAAGACGGTAGATATTTAGTAAAACTGACCCTCGGTGATAAATCACACCTACTTGTATATACTGGCATTTGCACAATAGGATGAGACGAATCAGTATAGAGTAAAATGTTACTATTATTTGCTGCCTCTGCTCTTTCGTTTATTCTATTGGTTATCGGAATTTGTACAATTGGAATCATTGTACCATAATCGGACAGGACAGGACTACCACTGTACTGTGCAGATCTGTTGCCCGGACGAGCTTGTATTGGAATTTGTACAATAGGAATTGTTGTACCTGAACTAGATAGTGTAGCACTGTTACTAGTATGTGTAGATGAGTCGTTGGAACGAGTATATATTGGAAGCTGCACAATAGGAATAGTTGTACCGGAAAAAGACATGGCAGGACTAATATTGACTGGACTTGATATACCAGCTGTGCTAGGATCTACATAATTATCCATCGTAAGAGTTGCTGCATCGGAAGGTGATAAAGTACCATCACTGTCAATAGGCACCATTGTACTGGAAAATTCTGCGGGTAGACTACCATCGATACATGATTCTTGCTCAGGAATATTTAAGTCGTAATTACGAGCAGCAGCCTGCCCGTCTATGTTTATTGGGTTTGGTGATGCAGAGTTGTTTTTATCTGAGCCCAATGAACTGTGTACGGGGGAAATGGCTGGGTCGGGTGGTGAAGAGTTTGAAAGAGTAATTCCTAGAGGAGACAGCGAGATATTTGATTCTAAGTATGTTTCTCTTTCATTTGATTGTTGTCTTGTAACTGGTAATAATAACTCTGTATTGGCAGCGGTACTTTTTAATAGACTATGAACTCTATTTACTGGTGTAATGGTTGTGCTGAGATGTGCTGAAGTATTGGCCATATTACGAGATAATATAGTATGTGTGTATGGGGCCGTCTCGGGATCTAATACGTTGTTACTGTCTTGACAGAAAGACGAAATACTGGAGCTATTGTTGCTTCTATTAGATGGGCCTAATGAGTTAGAAAGTGATGTATCCACGCCTTTTGGTGAGGACGCAGTCGACCCTCGCCCTCTCCGTCGTGCTATAATCGATTCCAAATTTTCTGATGCCGATTCACTTGCTAAAGATTTCCTTGTCAATAATTCTCTTGGTGTGGACACACTGGGTGATTTTTCTTGTGATGATGGTTCTTTTGGTAATAAATCCACAGATTCCAAGTTCTCTGGCACTGACTCGGGTGAGTTTTCTACTCGATTGAATCTATCGAATATTCTTTTGATTTTTTTTTGGAAGTAAGTTAAGATATACGCTGTTACATATAATAAGATATTGAGGGCAATATATTGTGCCATAAAACATGCGACAGCTATGTAAAAAGAGAGTTCCATAGTACGGTCAATGTGCTCTTCTGTAGTTGGCCAGCACAATTTATATTCTCCATGATTGGTGCACTGGTAACGAGGTGTGTTGACTATTATAGCCAATGTCGCTTGCGAAAACCCAATTTCAATGTTTACGAGGTCGCGCCTATTGACATATTGTAATGTATCGTCTTTAACAGATTGTTGGTCTTTTTCAGTACCAATTTTCTTGTTGTCGATGTCCGTTTCGAAATTTACAGTCTCTGTAACTGTAACATATTTTGTTAACGTCCTACGCCCTATGTTCGGATCGTACGCTGGCATTGAAGATACGGATGGTACATTAACCCTGGCTAAAGCTGATTCGACCTTTTCTATGATATCTTCTTGTGCTAATAAGAGAGAAATGAGAGTGAGGTTTGTTGTCGCGCACTAATATGGGAGTCCACAATATTTTATAAGCATACTCGAAGTTCCGGTGGCAGGTAAAGTCGGAAAATGTGTTATAGTAGGAAGTACTTCAGTGTAGACAGTGTTAAAAAGTGTAAACTTAAACTGGCTACGATGTGTTGAAGGATCTTTACTGTAGGTTTTATCGTATATTTGATTTCTCTTGGTTGGAGATGGGTTGTATGGAGCGAGACTGGTGGGCCAGAGTACATAACTGAATATGGCAGTAAAAGCAAATATAAGTGCGGTTATAAGATGCGGCTGAATCATCGTTCACTATTTTTTCACTTTGTTTCTCTATGGGGTTCGGAAGAAAGAAGGACTATATATATACTTGATATTTTATAATCAAATTTTATGGTATCAACTGATAAGGTAGTTTTTGGCGTGGGCTGGTTTCAAGATAATTGGTAATATATCATTTTTATCAATCAATACAATGGGGGGGGGTATTGATGATAAAATAAGAATGGAGCCTTTTTTTTATTGACAATATATACATATTTCTTGACAGAAGGCGAGTATATTTAGCCCAAGCATCTTTGAACACAATCTGCTCTTTGTAAATCATTGTTAGACTTTCAATATTTTGAATTATCATTATGACTGCTCATTATTGTTCATTGGTGGTTCAGTTGGTATGTTGGTAAATTGTGATATAAATGAGAGAAAGAACAGAGAGCATTATGTGATTAGAATAGAAAGAGAGGTAAATGCATGAAAGATTGTTATTGTTTTTATTGTATCTATTTTATAATTTCTGTGAGAGTAATAGCTTATATTTAGCTGGTTATGACACAATGGGCTAAGGTCAAAGTATGTAAATAAAATTCATATTAAGGTTCGGCTGAATTCCTGTATATGTATGATAATTACTGTCGTTAATAGCACATTATAATTTCTTTCTTATCCTAAATTTGTACCCATACTTAGATAATGGATATAGAATAATCAACTCAGAAAGGATCAAACAAAGAATTAATTGTATCAAATATTTTAACCCATAATATTGCAGTCATCAATTGTTAGCTAAAAATTTGATATATTTATTACTATGTTTTTATTAATCAATCTATAAAAAAAACATTATTGATAAAGTATGTCTTGAATGTTTTTTTAACGTTATTTCTATATTTCTGCTGGGAAGCAACGTCTGCTTCCTTCAAATAAGGCAAGCAATCCCTTATAAGCTAAATAGTGATGTCCATGCCAAATGGGACCCCAATGCACACGGAATGTCTATTTATCACAGTTTTCTCAAGAAAATTAAGTAAGCTTTTATGCATTCCGGAAAACTCCAGGCAACACAATTATCCTTAAAGAACTGGTACTTGTATATTTGAAATAATTATATTAAAAACCAATATTAATAGGAATACCTTATGGACTGACTGGTAAGTCAGGCCATAGATAGACGACGTTTCCTGGTTTTAGTACGACATCTTCTGGTAGCAGACCACATTTTGATTCTCCTGGACCACAAAGTTGTACCCATTTTAGTACGATCGCTGCCTGGGACGGGACAACATGACTCAATACCTTTTCCCCCAAAGGTAAAGCATTTTGCGTTTATTTATTTTTTATGACAAACCTTAGGCCACTTTTTGATAACATAGATACAATACAGTGGTCCCTTGATAATTTCATGTTTCTGGCGGCCCCCTTCTAAAAACAGGGCTCAACTTTCACTATAATATTTGGTCTTGAATTCTTAGCGTGGAAGAATTTTAGCCAATCAAGTTATGACAATACTTAGCGGCTAACTGTTTTTTATTATATATAGGAGTACTTCTAACAAAGCATGCTTTGACACTCCCTCTACCTTCATTGGAAAATATATAAGCATCATTGTTATGTCTTTATTTCGGAAGTACAAACCACTTTTAGAAAGATAGACTTTTTTCGAATTTAACCTGTGACAACCCCAAAAAATTGATTTCGTCTTCTCATCTTTGAATGCAAAGATCTATACTATCAATTCTGGTCCAATTCCTTTCTCATTTAAAAAGATCATAATATTTGTGGGATCTTTTAATGAATTGAGATTCTCTATATTTTACAACACTGTTTGGGATTTTGGCACAAAAGTAGAAAGAGCTCAATTTCCCCTTATCCGCCGTGATAAAGATTTGACAATTCATTTCAACAGGTATCTTAACTTTATCTCAGAAGTATTGAGAGATCTATAGGTATGTTTGATTCACTTGTCGAGTAGAGAGCCAGTTTCGAAGGCACTATTTTTCTATTCATGCCTAGTCGAATTGCATATCAAAAACCCCTGTCTTATTGAAATTGACATTATCCAAAATAAATACACATCATTAAGATGGTTAAACATGAATTCAGTCAACTTGTGCCTCTCCAAGCAGTCAAATTACAGTCACAGCCCACATATTCTACAAAGACTGGGACTTATTAATGTCGGTATAGACACACAGGCCTTTAAAACTATACATTTTTTGCTGTAAACAACTTTTATTCCTAGGACTATAATACGTTAAGCTTGATGAATCTGTAAATGAAAAGCAGAAGATCTTTATCGACATGCTCCACTCCCAGTTGGACACACTATACTTTGTAGTATCCTATCATGATGTGTCTCTATAAAACATTACATTAATAAACAACATATTAATGATAATGTTAGCCAATTGGACTTGAATAACCAAGAACAGCTGATGTGATCAAACAGGTATCATATATGCTTGGACAAGACAGACAAGATAAATAGATCTCTTACATGGGAACGTGGGGATCGTGACATTGGATATTCTTAGACGTTTTGTAAAGGTTTTATGAGTAACGACAGCTCTGCTTATAGTAACATATTCACAGAAGAATGAGTGGCTTTAGTGGATTTTTTTTAAAAGAAAATACTTTAGGGTCCCAAGGGTGTGTTGGTGGGTGCGTATTTTAGAGTAGACTTTTGGTTTAACGATGGTTTATTCTCTTTATTTTTCAATTTTTTCTATTCCTTTGATATTCCAGTTAAACAAATGGAGCCGTATTTTTCTTTAACTTACTTCCTTGTACCATCATTTTAAATGCTTGATCTCTGTAGTATCCTGAAGAGATAATGGTCTATTATGAACCAAAGAAGCCTTTGAAATTGGATATTTCCTTTGGAGTCTTTGTTATTCAAGTCAAATTTTATGTATGATATTGTACTGGTAAAGGAGAATTCTATGTAAAGTATAATAGTGATTGAGAGTATTAAGAGGATTCTAGTAATTCAGATGATTTCATTTATTATGTGGACGCATAACGATACAACCATTTTGGGACACGGCGTTTACAACGTGTACAATTTGTACACATATTATACGTAAAAGTAATAATATTATAATATATTTACTACTTGAATCTAACTGGAAACTTCATTGTATGGTAATAACGCAGTACTTTATTACTGAACCAAATTAATTTAACTTACATAAAGTACTGTTGACAGTTATGGATCAGATTGAATTGCTGGATGCTGAATCACCTGCCGCTTTACATGAGTTTAATATACGATAAAAAAAAAGCGGCAATCAAAGCAAACGTAGTATTCCAGAGAAACACCATGCCCGTATGATTTAACAGAAAATAAATTATGAGACATCGATACAAACACTAGGTCCGGACAACAATATTTGTGAGCAGGTGCGAAAAACGGACACCAAGTATTTTCAATCAATACCACATATATATATATATATATACAGGAAAATATAGCAAACAAAGTAGTGTTAGTAGCAACTTCTTTATATTATAATTTTCAAAATTTTGCTTAAAGAGAAATAACCGATTGATAAAGCAAGGAGTTTTTTCAAAAATTATATGTGCGGTATCAACTTTAGTAAGAAAACTATACAAACAGGGTAAAGAGTATACTAAAGGTGAGCCTTGATATTATTCATATAGAGTTAACGAAAAGAAACGCTTATGTTTTGTTTAAACTAGAAATAGTTTTGTTTATAAAAAACAAACGATGAATTCAAAATTGAACAAATACGACAATCCAGCTATTGAATGCATTGTCAATCTGACTCCTTCGTCTACATATAATAGGTTCAATCAAGTACCAGAAGCTACACCCATACATTAAGCAGGTCCATCTTTGGGGGGCCGTCAGATTTAATTCCTCATTGTTTAAATCATTTGCCTTTGTGAAAGAACAGAAATAAAATCAAAGGTATTCCTGGATTGTATTTGTGACATATATGCAAATAATGAGTATGAGTACACTGTATATGCTGAAATCAAGACAAATGAAAACACAAGTAATTTAAACAAAGGCCTGTATTGACTAGCTTTGTTTCACAAGAAACTCTAATAGATACATATAACTTGAGCATGTAGTTTGTCTTTTCTAGGCAAATTGATATCATTGGCATTATTATTACAAGTTCTATCTAACCCTCTTTTTTTTATTTTTGATTTTACAAGACAGTAGTATGGTATGGTGTGAATAGATAGATATGTCCGTCATTATTTTGATGAATTCGTAAAAATCTAAACACGGTTGACCACACTACTCCTTTCTGCTTAATACCATAATCCTGAGTATTGGCCATAGTATAATGTCTCGTATTTTTCTTCTTTTTATTTAAAATATTGTATGAGAACTACTATGGGTAATGCGCCGTTTATTAGTATTAGAGAAAATACAAGATAATATATAGTTAAATTCATAGCAATAAAATGAAATGAAAAGGTCAAAGTGATAATATGCCTTGGCGTTCTCCGTGATATTCACTATACAAGTAAGTGAGGTTCAAGGCTCATCACAAAAAAAAATGTACATCTAGAATTCAAGTTGCCCCTTAGTACTTTTTGTACTACTTGATTCTTTTAATTTGATTTGATTTGGTTTGATTTGGCTTGATTTTTAAGTGTTGTAAACTCCTGCTAAATTCGAAAGTCACAAATCAACCTGTATACCAGCGGTGCGAAACCGCGGCACTTTGAATATCGTCCAAAAATTACTTATATTACCATTAATTTCACATTTTAGGCGAGTTGTGGATTTGTACGCATGTTTGTAAATTGTATTATAAATATTAAGAAAATTAAATAACTAGGGCATAATATAATAAAAGCCCTTACAGCTTATTATTCAAGTGGTAGACACAATGATATTTCATCTATTATGTACTTTTTTATACATTCTACTAGTATATTATCTAGGAATATCATGTTTAATACTTAAATCATATCAGTCAGACAAGTATCAAGCAAGCCGTACTAATGCGTTACACAACCCTACTTAAAAGAGTAGAAAAAAAAATCGGGGGTTTTTTTATTTGGTTGTAAATGAATGAATAAGGTCCGGATGTTTATCTTTTTGATAAAGAGGTATAACGCAAAAGACAGATATGTATAGAGATGGAGAGCTATACAAGTAACTCAAAGTGTCAATTATAAAATAAGAAAAATAAGAGAGGGTGGCTTGTCATATGGCAGACACTCTTTGGATATTGTCCTACTCTCTGTGACATGTCATCTGAGTAGTTATACTCTTATATTATTATTATTTTTCGATTAAACCGCCAACACCCCGAACCTTTCTATACCAGGCTGTGGTCTTCATTGTACTGACAGATTGTAAATACCATTAAAAAAAGTTTTCGATAATGGCCCATTCTCTTTCATCGTTCCCACAGCAATAGCATTTAGGCTAATTAAAATCTTTCAACTTGAACTAGATGGCTAGCTTATTTTTTCCCCTTTACTCTCATTATCTTATCTGTGTCATTTTATTATTATTGTAGTATATCTTTTGTCACCTAGCTTAGATTTTTCTTAAGCACTTAAACAACAATTACGCAGCCACTCACCCCCAATGTCTGAGCAGTAAAAATGTGAGATGCAACATTATCTACACAAAAAGAAAGTGCACAGCAATTTTCGGGAGTTCGTGACAGATAAAACGTAGACGGCTTGGGGAATAAACAAGAGGTAATTTATGGATAGTCTCACGACAAGAGGGTTTTCTATGAAGAGTACGATACCGTATGCTGTGTGATGAATGATGTACAGTTGCTCGCCAAAAGATATACTAGTGTTATTGTGGCAAAACAGGTTAAAATTGAAGAGCAAGCCGAGAGGAAACTGTAAGAAAATGGAATTTCCGGATAGGCAATGCTGATAGAAGTAATATCAGAGAGAGAGAGAGAGAGAGAGAGATCAATACCCGCACAGAAAGTATTGAGACTTGGTAGACGAAGAGATGCCATATAGGTACAAGGGATCAGGTAAAAAAAAAAAGCGACGCACAATACAAGAGAGGAGGCAACCACATTTTAAGTAAGCTCTAATACGCAGGATAGGGATGTAACAGTTTTAAGGAAAGGAGATGTTTTCACAGGAACCCAAAGATCGCTAAAGAGAGTAATATAAATGCATATCAGACAATAAGGGCCGGGTCCACCGTCTTCGTACCATGAGACCTTCTACGAGCCGTGACCACATAGCAAAACATGAAAAAGTAAGACAAGTGGGGTTGTTGGGAAACCAGGATCTAAAACCACACGTAAGCATGTCGAATACACGAAAGAGGGTTGCAAATATGGAAGAAGGCAACTTTAGACTGGCAGGTCGTACTTCAAAAAAGAAAATAGGGAATTCGTAACTAAATTCTACCCAATGTGTGTTCATGGTATATTGTAAATACCGTATAATAGAGAAGTAATGATCGATGGAGCGATGAAAAAGAGGGTGAATGTAATAAAACTGCAATGCGAATTGCTGATGAGATGGATCCAAGACACCGATAGCACCATAGCGCTTATGAAGTCGCAGAATGCTTAGTCGAATAGAGGGGAAGCATTATATGAGCGAGACATTTGCGTCCAAGAGATTGGATAGAATATATGATTGAGGAGAAAACGAAGAGCATGCACAATATATTATACAGTTTCGACGTAATAAGAGCGGTGAGGTCAGTGGAGCATCCCAGTAAATACAATCGACGTTGGTGGTATGTACTGCAGGCACAAGGCATAGCTAAGAAAAAATGATAACCAAGATATGCGACATAAGAAGCTAGATTCTGGTTATGTCAAGGTGATATATATAGCCAAAAGAGCAGATTGTAAGAGGTAGGGCTGTCTTGACGAAGATTGTAGTCTGAAATTAGAGAGTCAAAGAGATATCCTTTTTAGTACAATTGCATCTTTGGCAGTAATAATTGAATGAAGAAGGGGATAAACAAATAAATAAAGTTTGACAGAGTGAAAATGGGTGTCGATAATGGACTTTTTGCGCAAATAGTCCAATTGAGTGGTAGGCGGTGAGGTATTCGGGATTGATTTAGGGTTAATATGTCGATATGGGAAAAGTAGATACTGTGAGAGTGATTTATTAAAGAGAGTCAAAATTATATTGTTTACACACATTACTATTAAATTTCCTTGTAATCCAAATGCATGTTGTGTAATTGTTGGTTTACACTGTTTAAGTATGTGGTGTACGTATTCTTGGTGTGTAACAGTTCCGGAGATTGTTAACTTGTCAGGTTCATTAGTAAGAAGAAGCCAGTGTTTGATTATGGAGTATGCACCAAAAAATTGTGTTATTTATATCACATTACCTCCTCCCAGGCTGAATAACCGTGTCGAGAGAATCAATTTACCTTAAACTAAGGGAACTACGTTAGCTTCTTGAACACTAGCATGCGGCATTAGCATCTTGAGCTTTTTCTTTGGCGTGTAGATGTGGGTTGCGTAGTGCGGGGTTTTTTAATGTACTTTGCAGAACAGTACGTGTCTGATGCGGTGGTTGTGTCTTGTTAATTAGTGCTGTACCAGGCCGATCTCAATAATCCGCAATATGTTTAGGGCTGTTAAATCACTTAGGCTTTTTCCATGTATCGTCCTTTTCTTTATAGCCTTCCCATCTGACTCTGTACTCGTATTATCCTTTACCCAGTCCTCTATGAGTTACTAATGCTCTTACTGCAAAGTGTAGTATATACACCACAATTGACTGAGGCACAGATTCCACAACCAAACACTGATTCCTTATTGCTAACGGACCCGGTAAGTTAACAACCTCTGGAACTGTTATACGCCAGGTACATGTACACTGCACACTTACACAATGTAAACCAACCATTAAACAACAGGAACTCGGATTACAAGAAGCTTTAATATTAATATATATAAGCAATACAATACTGACTCTATTTAACAAATAACACTCATAGAACTTATTGTTTCTTTTCAATTTATTCGTATATCACAATTTGACACTCATTTTTGTTTAAATGTTTCCTTGTTTCCTACACTAGTTTGGTCTCATATTCTTCTCTTTTACATCTCATTTATTAATAATAATAAAGTAACTATTCTTATAATGTATTTGGTGGGCTTAAACCCTTTGAAATAAATATAAGCTGTTATATTCTAATTATTCAAAAAATGATAAGACATGCGATAAGTGGTTATCGGAACAAAGAGTTTATTCTCAGAAGAGTTACTTTTATTAACAACATATTCTAAAAAATGAAAATGAAAATGAAAATTAGACTTTTGTGCATTTAAAAAATCTTGTATAAATATAAAACTTACTTCAGATGATGGACTTGGAAATTTAATGTATTGTGCCATAGAAAGGTCAACTGTATTACACGGGATCTTGACGCGCAATACAGACAAGAGCTGCTAGTATACTACGGGACCTTGACGTAGACATACCAGCCTAGACTGCCATTAGAGGAAGTGACGCCCCTGTCCTATGACACAATACTCGCCATACCTTCCGCCCCAGTAATGACGGCTGTACATTACGGGACCTAAGCGTATAATACAGAGAAAATCAGATTCCAAGAGATAAAACAATTAGCATTAGACGTTACATTTTAAAAAAGCCTGTACAAAAATAAAACTTACTTCAGATGATGGACTTGAAGATTTATCGTGTCGCATCATAACAAGGTCAACTGTACTTCACGGAATCTTGACGTGAAATACAGACAAGAGCTGCCAATATATCACGGAATCTTGACGTGGGTCCATTAGCCTAGATTGCCTCTTAGAAGTCTTAATGCCTCTTAGCTATGACACAACGCGTTTCTTTTATATACAATTAGAACATGAACGTTAAATTTGATTAGTTAAACGAATGACAGACTTTCTTTTATATACATACCATCATGCAATGTAAATGTGTATTTGAAGTTATTGCAGGGCTATTACAATCAGCACCTCACAATTATATCAGCAAAACATCTGTTGACTGACGCAAACAAGAATGATGCAAGCAGGAATGATGTAAGCAATCACGTGCTGTTTAAACTCTAAGGTGATGGCCGGTCTAAAGATATCGAAACGATTGAAACAAAAAATTAAATGAAATCAGCCAATAAAATTAATTTTTTGTCTGACATTATTGATCAAGGTACGTTTTGTAACGGTTATGTATTTAAAGCTAAAATTGCTAAATTCTTTAAGCAAAGAAAAAAAAAGAATAGTTTGCTTATATAACGGCTGTTCTGCAATGAATTTTACTATGGTAATAATGAACTGTGGTGCGAACCAGGTTCACGAAAGGAAATAAAACCTATTAATAACCCGGTTCATTAACACGCTTATACCCAAAACCAGTTACCCGATATATTACAGCCAAGTTTCAATATGATGGAGTGAATGTGTACTTGTAGCAATTTTCTATCACACTACTACAAATCTACGCCCTTTCTAATACAAGGCAGAATAATGGCTTTAGATAAGTATAAAAAGTACCATATCGACTATATACTTTTATACATACAGCTTGACAATAATATACCACAAAGATGGTCATATCTGCTGTAATGCTTTTATTATTATTATTATTTAGTATATTCAAGCCCCAAGGATTATTACTAATAAGTAATGTTGCTTTGAATAATCATATGTATACCATTAATTATCATAGATTCTATACATCACACCAAATCAATCAAAACTAAAAGTTTCTCCAACTCTCCGCATCCTAGCTTATCAACCTACCTTCGCTTGACGACATAATTACTGAAAGAACATAATTGGCTTAAACAGACAACTGCTATATAGTTTGAATGTCGTTGAATTTACAGCTGAAATGAAAGAAAAAAATTGCTAAATAAAAAGGATCATTTTGATCAAAATGGGAAATTAAATATAGAAAATCAGCTATATATCCAGATCGGTTAAGAAAAGGGTCTTTAAATTTGTATATAATCTGATGAGGCACATACAGACCCACTATCCAAATATTGTTTGATATTGATTGCTCAAATATTGATCAAAACGTCAAAACGTTTCAATCTAAAAGAAACCCCCGTTAATATTAACATTTGGGTTATTTTTATCACACGGGCATGTTTGATATCAATATTTCTTTAGGGTATACATCTCTAATTTTTTATAGGGAGCTCTTTATGTAGCTAGAATAATATTAAAGATTAAGAAGACCTAATGCTTGGTCTTATACAAGACAATTTAGTATATGTATGTTACTCTGGTGATTTATACATGTATTACAAAGATACCAACTCAGTAATTTATTTAGCCCTACGGTGTAGATAGATTATTTGCCTTTTTTTTATATACTTCCTTAACAAATTTAGGCATTTTTAGAGTAGTTTATATCTCCCCGAGTTCGCACTTGTTTCTTCTCCGAAAAGCATTGGCAGACCTGTATTTATGTTTTACACAATTTTACTTAATAGACTAAAAAGAAAATTCTCCAAACCTTTTTTCAGTTGTCCTGTGAGTAAAAGTGGGTATCGAAAATGTACTTTTTTGGTGCAAATAGCCCAATTTCGAGTGGATCAAGATTTTATAGAATGAGAATGTAGGATGTTTTAGTCAATATTTGAGCAATCGATGCCAAAAACTGTTGATAAGGTGGATCTTAATATGTCTAACCAAGTTGCTTATAGTCATAGAGCCTAATATATTTATGAATAGTGATTTATAGCTGATTTTTGGTGTAGAATTTGCCAATTTGATCAAAATGATCATTTTCGTTGTTGGCGATTAAAATTTTTATAATTTATATCTCGGCACAACAACTTTATACAACTAGGACATGTGTATTAATATACTGTTAGTAAAATAGCAGCTGTCTCTAAAAAGACATACAAGAGATTCAAGAAAACAATAATTTGTATCTGATATGTCTTTAAACATTGATAAAAAGGGCAAATCCATGAAAGTTTAATATATATATATATATATATATATATATTGGTGTGTGTGTGTATGTCAATAAAATTTTATGTCAATAGTTGAGATAGACCTTCGTTGTCTTCTACAAGTATCAGCTATCAGAATGAAGTATTTGTGCTTTATTCTTTGCATACATACCCAGTAATGGAATACATTTAATGTAATATTGTTGGCTTATAAATTTTTGAGCTATATTATTTTATTGCTCCAAGCTTATATTACGAAATCCTTAACGTGTTTAGCTTCAATAATCAAGAGACTCTTCCGTGAATAACGGAGGGTCCAAACTTGCCAACGAGAATTTACTATAAAGTAGCAAGGGTCAGCTTATTCGACTACGAAAGCGTCCACTGCCAGTCATCAAAAACTCTGTAAATGGTACCAATAAAGAGTTAGTACAATTTATTGCAGGTTAGTTCCTCTATCTCTCATAACATCACTATGTTACGATTGACTGGTACGCTTTACACAGCAGCCCATCCAACAACAACAAAATTGCCTTGGCCTGATATTAAATTGTAGTACTGCAGTTTGGGGGGTCTTATAAGTGGTCTGGAATTTTGTTGACAAAAAATGGTCTCATAAGAGCTGTTAATATTTATATGTGTATTGAATATAACAAGGAAGAGGGAAAGCATCCGATAGTCAATATGACTTTTTACTACTTTGGTACATGTTTTTTCTTTCTATTGGTTCTAATTTATACTAACCTGTAATTGTGTAACTGTTATGCAACGGAAAGAACAGCCAATAAGAAACAGTCATTACATCACAAGAACCAACTTTCTTGCAAAGTAAATCAAAAGAGAATAAATCAAAGTAAAGAAGTAAAGAAGTAAAGGAGTAAAGAAAGACTTGGTTTTGATTGGTTGTAGTAACAACTCTAAAGACAGAGTACAAGCTTCAATAACGGTAATTTTCAGGTTACTCTAAGCTGGTCTGTGCACTTCTTGTTCCAACAGAAGAAAATTTTCATTTCATTTTATTTTATTTTATTTCGGGAGTTTAATCAACACAATATAAATAAAATAAAATAAAATGGATTAGAATAAAATAGAATAAAATAACATATTCAAGAAGAGCGTATTAAATATATAATGAAGCCCTTTTACAATAGTAAAGTACAGACCTCTTGGTACTTGGATTTAGTGTTGATGTGAATCTATAGAAACTTATCACAGTGTAGAAGCGTTAAATATACATGAACCGGTTGGTTGTTCTTTTTGTGTGTGTGGTAATCCTCAGAGGACGTGCGGTACCTGTATTAATCATCATGTGAAAATATACAGGCTGCCTGGTAGTTGTTTGGGGGGAGACAATTCTTACCTATCCATACCTTTGCGTGTCAAATTGATAAAGGCGTATAAACAAATATATTGGTAGCTTAGAGTGTGATGTCAGCGCGACTACCATCAGTGAGCAAAAAACATATATATATACCTCAGTTATTCCCACCTCCCCTGTTTTTCTTTCCTTCGCACTTTGTTTAAACATCATTTATCTCAATGAATTCCAAAGTTTACAACGCTCTCTGCGCAGCCTTCGCGCTCGCCTATCTACTTGCCCCAGCTCTCCTATTCATCCCTGTGATGTTATGGGAGGCTTCTCCTTTGCCCTCTGCTTTTTGCATGGCCAAACCTGCAAGACGAAGACGACCCTCTATGATGGGTGTGGGTGCAACCCCATTTGTTGACGCGAGATTAGACGGCGAGAATCAAGTCGAAGCTCACAAAAATGTGATGCCTCAGACGATCCTTGGCATCTTGTCAAACTGGCTAGGCTCTTTGTGTTCTATTGGTTCGCAAACAACGGGAGAACCCTCAGGTAGCTTGTTGAGTAAGCGCCACGGAGGTATCCCAGGGCATATGTCCGTCAATGATTCCTCTTCGGAGGCGGAATGCGTTGTTTGTGTAGGAGAGTCGAGCGTGTTCTTTGGAGCAGGGCTTCGGGGATATGTCCCTCACCTCCTTCCTTTGCACGAGTTGGGACGTGGCATCGCTACAATGGTGTTCCCAGTTAACGGCGTGGCTGGTACCTGTGGGGAAACCCATGCAGACCTCGACGAGGGTGTGTCGAGTGAGTTTGTAGACGAATGCGATGAAGCTGAGGTCAGCGCACGACTCAGATTCATCTGTGACAAATTTTTCTCAGAGGGTTTTGCAAAGCCAAGACTCTCTGCTAGATTTCTTGACGCGATGCTGGAAGAGGAGCTCAGCGACTCTGCCAACAAAGCTCATCGCGACTCATTGACTGAAGTCGCTGAACCAGAGTGCGGCTTGGCTACCAAGTCAGCTGAGGAGACTCTTGTTCAAAGACAAGAGTCCGTTCAGACCCCATCGGGTTTGAATAATGCTGGCTTAAAGGATCCAAAGCCAAAGTCTGGAACAGTGGAGGGTCTCCATGAGGCCTTCGCTCTATCGTCTTGGCAATCAGCCAATGGATTTTTTGGTGAATGTCTCTCCACAGGACTTCCCACACCGATGGAGATTGACGACGACCTGGCTTGGTGTGAAGTCGTGGAAGTTGAAGATCCTATGGAGATTGACGATGTTGTTGTTGTTGAGGTGATGGTGCCTGATGCCGATTGTGGCGAAGAGCTCGTGGCCCACACCTGCAATCCGGCGGTTGACGATTTGCAGCACTTCTCCCAGTCTGTAAAGAAGGATTGCGATACGAACAAGATTCCAGCCTGTGTCCCGCAGCAGGCTGCAGACGATAAGATGGATGAAGACACAAAAAAGATTGTGCTACCTGGAACATCCTCTCAGAAGAAGTACAATGTACCCAGCCCTAGACGCAAGGAAGGTGCCGACGAGGTCAAGGGTAACAGAGAGTATCCAATGGCGGTCTCCAGACCAAAAGAGGAGTACTCGATGATCCCTCGGCCTGCCAGTCAAAAGGCCATTGATGAACCAAAGGCCTCTAATGAAGGATCGAAAATCAAGTTGGCTTCGGCCTCTTGTGATCGTCCTTCACAGCTGCCTAAGCCACTCTCTGGCCTTCGCACCGAGAGGCCAAGGCTTTTGTCGAATTTTATCTGGGAGGCGTCTGGACCTTCTACAGCAGCCAGCTGTAACAAGGGAAAGGCTCCAAGCAAAGAATTCAAGACACAAGGGCAAGCCATTACTCCAGCTGCCAATTATTCTATTCCTGTTGCTGCACCCAGCAGCAAGAAAGTGAAGACTTCTGGAAGTGGTGCAGCTAAAGCTGAGTTCAAGGCACCTTGGCAAATAACTCCCCCGGCTGCCAAGCCTTCTACTCCTGTTGTTGCACCCAGCAGCAAAAAGGAGGAGAATGTCAAGGCAGAAGAGTCAGATCTTCCTGCTGCCCCCAGCAGCAAGAGAGTGAAGACTATGGGCGGTACTAAAGCCTATGTCAAATAAATGGTGCCCTTGCCATATAATAGTTCAGCTTCCAAGGAGTCTGATCCTATTGCTGCATCCAACAGCAAAGAGGAAAAGTGTTCTGAGGCAGTAGAGTCGGATCTTTTTTCTGCACCCAGCAGCAAGAAAGTGAAGAGATTGAACAAGCTCTAATCCAGTCATTCCCAACTCGCAATCCTGCGTCAAAGCCGGCAAAGTCTTCGAGTAATAGAGGAAAAGAGGATCCAAAGAGCCTATTGAAGTATGTGCTCCGATTCAAAGGCGATCCAACTGTCAACAAGGAGTAAGATTGTTTGTTAGCAGTGCCCGAGCTCACCTTGACCCATTGGGTCAGAGGTGTAGTGAAAGAATCTGCGGAGCTGATGATTCCGAAAACTTGGACAAATTTTTGTTGCCCTGTACGCTTCACCAAGCGGACATCTTGTCGGTCGGTTGGCCCTGGAGCCAAGCCGATGCGGTCGGAACCAAAGGTCGATCCTGAAGCTTCTGGTAAGCTTTATGGTGACACTGGAATTCCGAGACCTTTCACAGTACTTTTCCTTGGGACTATCTGCGTGGTGATTCACGCTGGGTCTCTTGGTTAAGCTGTAAGGGTAGCCTCTTTTACGTTCGGTTCCTACTGCTTTCAAATTCAAAGGACTGGATTATCGTTTCCCTCTAGGATCGACACCATGCTCCACCTGTTAGCTTGGTTATGAGTCTTGGCTTGGCATAGACAGTATAAAGAGAAGGTAGATTGTGGAGGTCTACATATGAGTGTAACTTGTGGTGGTACTAGACTGGTTTTCAAACCTGTTTGCCTCTGGTATTTGCCGTTTGTATACATTCGAGGGTGGTACTTGCACTGCTGTAGGGTTGGCTTGAACATTTTGTTCGTAGGGCTCTTGTTGACTTCCTCTCAGGTCTGAGGCCGAGATCTGTGAGTGGTGGTTTCTGTACGAGTAGGGCTTCCGGAGTCCTTGATTCTGGGTCGTTTTTGGGCCACGGTGGTCCTGTTGGATTGTCTGGTCTGGTTGGCTAGATTTCTGGTATCATTCTGGTATCATTCTGGAGATCGTTGTTAGCTAGGTTGCTAGCCTGTTCTGTACCTGGGTTCTGGGTCTTTGTAGCTTGAGTTTTGTGCTTAAGCCAGGGAGAATGAATACTGTGGGGCACGGTGTTCATTATGTAGTTATGTCTGGCCGAATGGGTTTTGCTTCCTTGCCGGGTTCTTTCTTGGGGTCCTTGGAAGGCTATCGTCAGTCCCCTCCTTTTTTTTCTGGTGAATACCTGAAGATTCACTGGTAAGCTCGAATAGGTCCTTTTGGACTTTGAGTTGACTATACCGTAGATTGTGTAAAATCTATTGTTGGGGGGTAGACAGTCCCAAGAGGTTTCGGGAAAACGAGCCAAGAACACCTAGTTCTTACGCAAGATTGGCGAGGTTTTCCCTCACAGACATGATGGTATATCAGTCATTATGATTGCTACCAGTCCTTGTGTCCGGACTCAAATGATGCATACACATGCATGTCCAGACATCCGCAGCTATTTTGAGATGGCAAAACCAAAGTTCATCTGCACAAAAGGATATGCTTCAATGACTGATCGATTAGGTACCAGTGACTTTGTCAGTCGAATCAAGATAACCTGACTATACAGTACATTGTCACTGGAGAGATAGCGTGGAATTCGCCGATGATTTCAAGCATCACGCAAAACCTGTGGTTAGAGTCCTAGCCACCCTCATTTGAGGAGGGCTCTGATCAATATGGTCTGGTAAATGAACCAGACCAAACAGTGTGAGCTAGAAATTGTCACCAAAAAAAAAGGCAGGTTACAGTTAGCAACTGGAAATGCGTATACTCAAGAAAATAAGACCCGAGTCGAAGGGCAATTTTGCAAACTTTCAGCTGTGAAGGAGAAGCAAGATTACTTTCGACAAACCTATCCAAACCAAGTCGAGACAAGTGCTTAAAAGCCATGCATATATATATATATACATTTATATAATTCTACGGAAAATTGAATCCAGTATCAAAGCAAAGTTGAACATAGACATGAACATGAACATGAACATGAACATGAACATGAACATGAACATGAACATGAAAAAAAGGATATCAAGCATTCAAGCATCTAAACTTTCAAGCACAACAAGCTTAACATCAAGTAGGCTGACCCAGAGTCTCGCCATCTCGCTGGGTTGGCCAAAAAGCACACCAAGAGTCTCGACTAGGATATGGTTACAACAAGAATAAATTCCTCATCATCATTCAAGACTATTGGCTCAGGACTGCAAAAAGGTATTTGGGATGTCCGGGTTTATATTATGGACCGAGAACACCAGCAGGAACAAGTAGAGGCCGTCAGTAGTAAACAACAGAGCTCAAGGCAGAAGCAATGTGAACCACAAAGCAAGCAATAAGGCAATTTTTCAAGGGCTGTTTTTGTCTCTGGATTTCTTTGTCAGAGACAATATCAACCATTAGTCCGTCTATTCAGAAGATAAGTACTATTTATACACAATATGTCTCGGTACTAATTATATGATATTTTTTCATCTTCTCAGGGCCGCCCTGTGACAGGGCTCGCAATACTACAACCCTTTAGAGGATACCATAGAGAGCTTGTGAGCGTTGAACTTTACCAAAAGGTAAAGCTGCTCGGTACGCCTGTAGTACCTTTTCTCCCCTCAAAATATTGTACATTACATTGTATGCCTGTATATATTTAGGGTTCTTGGTGTGGTAAGCCAAGATCTGGTAGCTCCTCTGCCATTCGGTGGTCAAACCCTTTTGTGATTGACCCCATCGCTGCAATTTGGCACATTGTTTCTGTTGGAAGCTTGGCTGTTTACTGTCGGTGGTCTCGTATACCTCCTGCTGGTGGTCAAGGTTCATTCCGCCCGGTCATCGAAGAACATTTTGCAGTCCTGAGCCCGTCTCTTCAGATGATGTTACCTATTCCAAGACAAGTTCCTTTACTTAAAAAACAAATTCTATCAATTAAGGTATGTTATTTTGGTCATTCAAACCTGCCTCATATGTAAATATATCTCTTGTTTTCTCACTCATTATTTTCTTTATCTTTTTAAGCCATATTTGGCCTTAGCAACTCAAATAATAAGGCAAATTCCGAAGCCTGAATCCTATGCAACAATGACAGCAGTAAGAACCAAGTCAAGCAAGAAGAATACAAAAAAGAATACAAAAAAAGATACAAAAAAAAGAATACAAAAAAAAAGAAAAAAGATTATATTCACAATTATCTCTCTATCTCAAGTAGAAACTCATAGTCTAGCAGAATCCCTGAAATGGTCAAGCCACGGTTTGCTTATATGTCCAAGTCCAATTCCAAGTCTTGTCCAAGCCCAAGTCAAAGTCCAAATGTCCAAAAACTGTCAAAGTACTGTTCTAGTACTAGTCCTAGCACACAAACATATACAAACATATAGAGAAGTACACAATTAGAGAAGTAGACAAATACACACACACACAAACACACACAATTTCTATTTTTCTATTTCTTTCTTATATATACACACACACACACATACACATAGTCATAGTCATAGTCATAGACATACAAACATACATATACACACTTGTATACATACATAGATACATACAAAAGTAGAGGCGAATTTCTATCAAAGTCCAAAATCTGGGCTGTACCTCCAAGTCTCAAGGCCAAGTCGATTTCCAAGAAGGGGTCCAATGCAAAATTCCAAAAGCAAGTTCCAAAAGAAAAACAAAAAACAAAAAACCAAATCCGAGGCCTATACTAAGTCCTGTAAAAAAAACGGGCATATACTAAGTCCTCCTTTCCAAAAGGATCAAAAGAAATCCGAACTTGAGGCATACACTAAGTCCTCCACTCCAAAAGGATCAAATCCAAAACCCGAGGCGTAGACCAAAACCTATCAGAAATGATCAGGCACATTAAGTCCTCCGCTCCAAAAGGATCAAAAGAAATCCGACCCTGAGGTCTATACTAAGTCCTGTCCAAAAATCACACAGGCATATACTAAGCCCTCCTCTCTCTCAAAAAAAAAAGCAAAAAAAAGCAAAAAAAAAAAACGGACAAAAAAAAAGATCAAAAGAAAAATCAAATGGACCAAGAAAAAAAACCGACTGGACTTGACTGAAGCCGACTGGACTGGACTGAAGTAGCATGAACTTGACCATCTTATATTATATTATATTTAATTTAACTTATATTTCCTTTATAAAAATCTTTGAATAATAAAATTTTTCTCATATGTCTTTAGTATCATATTTATATTTTTTTATCTTTTTTTCTACATTTGCTTTTAAAGATATTATGATTAATATTTGCAAAAGATAATAAGAATAATAAATTTTGTGCTTTTTCTATATTGCACTTAAAAGCTGTTTTATTATACTAAAGTCCCTTGGAAGAAAAGATCATTTAGGCAATTCTGAGAAAGATTTATGATATTTTCAAGACCACCCTCTGAATTAATCCTTTTCCCACATAGTATTGAATAGAGAAGGAGATTTCCTGTGTAAGATTCTTATCTAAATTTAGTTAATTTTTATAAAAAAATGAATTAATACGGGATTTGATCAATGCAGCAACCAACCCAATACTTCTTTGACAATAACAGTATCCAAGAATATCTTTTTATATGTAAGCTTTAAGAACGTGTACTGATGTATTCTCGTATAAGATTACATTAATTAAAAGAGTCTTGTGTTACCATATTGGCCAAATTAAGAACCTGGTAAATGATACCCTATTTCCAATACTATGAAAAATAGCCCTCACATATACATATCTATATCGTTTATTTGATGTAATTTCTCTTTATAAATAAGTTTCAATTGGTTGTACTTTTGCCATATGTCTCAAAGATCTGTCTCTTAGTCAAAAAAAATTATAATAACCTTCATCAAAAAAAAACAATTTTCCTTTTCCAGAAGCATATCGTTCTTTTGACCAAACCTTATAGTAAGCTTTCTTTATTGAAGGATACATTATAAAGAGGTTGATATACAGTTTATTTAATATTAAAAGATAAAGAAATTAAAAGGTATTTTGTGTAGAGTGGATGTAGTAAGGGTAAAATAAGGATATTAAGCATACAATTATTTTACCAAGCCTAGCTATTTACTTTTCTGTATATAATGTTTATAATATAAAAAATTTCTGAAAAATATTAAAAACCCACAACTTTTGTAAAGCGGCAAATAAATGCATATATCTAGTGTTTTGGGACATTTATTTTAGTCGACAAGTGCTTGCACCTCTGTCACATATTAAAATTGGAACGATACAGAGAAGATTAGCATGGCCCCTGCACAAGGATGACACTAAACTTCTGAGATGGAACGCTCTACGGAGCATATTTTTTTTTGTTTTGTCACCACTTGATATTATTTTTATTTATTTTATTTTTTATGTCAAATCTTGAAATTACTTATAAAAGGATACCACATTGAGGAATGTCAATCTTACATCATAATGTACACCTTTATTATCCACTAATGCACAATCCTTCTCCCCTTCCTTGTTAAATGCATATCAATCTCTTCTGGCTCCTCATGCTGTAGATGGCTTTTGTTATGCAGTTCCGATAACACAAATCACCACTTCTTTTTTGCTGACAATGTAGCATTCTTTTTGGCTTGGCTTTAAATGTCCAGCCCATGTTCAACTTGAGCTGCGCAACATTTTTTGTATGTATTTAAAAAGGAGTCCGCGTACTCAACATTGTCTAATTTTACTTTTCAATGCAAAATTAATTAATTAGAAAATATGTGAAGTTGCTGCGATCTGTGTCCCTTCATGGTTACTTGTTAAGCCAAGTGACAATATTTATAATATACAACACTTGTTGCCCACAAGTGTGTCCAAATAAGCAAATTCTGTTTTTTCTTTGCATTCAGTAATTTGTCTCTCGTTCTCTCTACTATCTACCCTCTACTCGTATGCTGGCATCAGACTTACCTTTTGAAATTCTCTCGCAAATTGCAAAACTTTTATTAACGGATGATAAGCTGACTTATATTCTCACTTGCAAGGGATGGAAAATCCCGTTTCAAGAATCGCTTTGGGAGAATATTAAAGTCGATTCCATGGATAAACTTAAAGACATATGTGCTATTGTAAATGATCCAACTGCGTATTTTCTACCAGATAGGCGCACGACCCAAAGTCTACAAGTTAACGGACAAACAAACTTACTGACTGGCAACAAAGCCATGTTTTCAAAACCTTTCCAAACTTGAAGCATCTCGATATGGGATCGCTGTATTTTTACGATATCGACATAAGCGATACAACGTATGGTCCTCAGTGGACGTCAGTGACCAGCTTAAAGTTACAGATTGTCCCCGAAACCTGGAAAACGACGGCCCCGTTCATGATCGAGGTCTTGAGAAATATCCCCAATCTTCAATCATTAGGCATATATCCATATCAACGTTTTGATTCGATGGTCTTTGACTTTAATCGATATAATGATCTTCACCTGGCATTACCGCAGCTGGTAAATTTTAGGGTTCATTTGAGGCTCACGGATATGCACCCAGGCGCAGTAGCAAGAATCCCAAGTACTTATCCAGCGCTGAGTGTAACAAGTCTCTCTCTCTCTATCTTGGCTATTGGGATCACCAGTGGGTGTACTACTTTTGCTTCAAGTACCCAAACTTGCAAGCTCTGACATTTTCATCCTTGCGCCAGCTCGGAGGAATATCTGTTATGGAGACTAACGAAAGAAATATAGCACTCCTTCGTTCGGTTAAAAGTGTGTTTCCGTAGCTGGAGACCGTGTGTTTCTATACTAAGGAGCTGTCCGAATGGTCGCATGTGATATTCTGGGAACTACTTTGTCCGTCAAATGTAGCTATCAAGAGCTTGAAGTACAGGATACGATCCAGAGACCCTGATGTGACCTTGCTTTGTAGGGTTACTGACCGATTACTGCAATCATTTAGCACAACACTCGCAAAATTGTCGATTAATTGGGGCATAAGTTTTAATACTCGTATTGCCTTTGAGCCAAAACTCCAGTACTCTTCGTGGCTAGTAAGCCTTAAAATGAGGGAATGTGGGCTATCGATTGCATTGGACGATTTATTGGATCATTGTCCATCATTAGAGCACTTCGAGTTTTCTGATGGGAGGCTGTACAATAGTAGCCCAGAAACATCTGGAGATCCAAGGCAGCATGGATTATTGCTCTTGATACTGGATCTTGTCATAACAAATGTTTCTGTGCTCAACTACGCGACTTTTAAATGCAAGGGGTTGGAAGCTATACATTTGAAGAGCATGAGAATTTGTGGATCGGTATCTGCTAAAACTAGAAGCCTGTGCATTGGCATGTCTTGCCTAGAACTCAAGACATTGATCCTGGACCACGTCAAGTTCTACTCATCCTCTGAAGAAAACATGAGCAAGGATCCAGACATCAACTTGATATTGCTTTCCAACCTGACCAGTCCTCGCGAGTCAGCCGAGACAATAGAGAAGAGCAATAAAGATGTCAATTGGAAATCTTTTGTGGAGTATCTGGCCTGGTACCATCTACGTGGGAAATATGATGACATACATGACTCTGCCGTAAAGATCAGACCGCTTTCAGATCAAGAATCCTGGACTGCAAATGAATATTTTCAGGTTTCACAGTTTAAAAGCAAGACGGATGTCTTTGAAGCTGAAGAATCTTTGGATGAAAAGGCTAATGAAGAAGATTGGAAGAAAGATCTGTGTGGTGGCTATGTTGAATTGAGGTGTAGTCACAGGACGAAATATGATGTGCCTTTATCGAATCACAGAGAGTTTTATATTTGGCCAAAATCATTTTATGGCTTTGGTAAAGTATAATTTGTAATGAATAAAGAATTAGCCTACCGATACTGAGATCCTTTGATAAAATTGAACAAGAGATATAGGATATTTACATATCTTGAAATATAAAAGAGATATCCCCTGCCCCCCCCAATACACCAATTACTACTATCTAGACACCCCTAAAATATATATTAGCTCTAATAAAAGTGAATTCGTATGGCCTGACATTTTTATTGGTCTTTGGTCTTTGGTCTTTGGGGGTTTTTTTTAATACAGTGTCCTTTAATATCATGTGAACGATCTTAATATATATATATATATATATATATAATATGTGCTTGTAGAAATAAAAAATTAAAAAATGAATTATTTCATTTGATACTAATAAACTTGCCATAAAAGGGGAGGTTAAGATTTAAATAAAAATAAAATAAAATAATGATTTGTGGTATGAACTATATAAAGTAATAAGAAATAACAACAACAGCAAAAAGAAACAGTAAGGGTAATTTCCATTCTTTTTTCTTGATTTGATATAGCATATGTAAATAAGATAAATAAGATAAATAAAATAAAATATATATATCTAAAGAATGATATTATTATTATTATTATTTTTATATGCAGTATTGGCAAGTATAAGGGACTACCGTTACTTTAACAAGGAAAGGAAAAAATAAAATCAGGATCAAATCAGCAAAAAAAAAAAAAAGATTTGTATGCAGAAAATGAATGAAAAAGAAAAAAAAAAGAGGGAAAATGGTTTGTGCGAGCGATTGAATAATTGATTGAATAAAGTGGAAAGAGCAATAGGATAAGAAAGAAAGAAAAGAGAGGAAAGAACAAGTGAGAAGATGTAAGTGGAGGGTAGAGGGAGGGAATTGTTATGGCGAGGGTATGATTGTAATGAAGAACAAGAAACATAAAATTCAGTGAACACGGACAGTCTTGACACCCTTGAGTGCCGAATTCTTTGACAGTGGTGGTTTACTATCACCATTTCGCTGTCCTTGTCCTTGGCCTTGGCCTTGGCCTTGTGTCTTACTTTCATCTTGGGTCTTGTTCTTCTTTTGTGCAGATCTTTGACCTAAACCAATACCACTTCCAATATTGCTGCCACTCAATTTCTCGGGTCTATCGACCAAAGGAGCCGATTGACGTCTCACCCTGACATCCTGTTTTGGCAGTGGCGTGGTACGAGTTGCTACTGGCTGAATCAAATGACCGTACCTCCTATTGGGCTCCAAAAGACTACCGTCGGATCTCTGTAGACCACCATCAGGCCGTTGTTGTGCACTTGTACCCGCAAAAGATACAGGTCTTCGTTTTCCTTCTTTTTCATCCGACTTCACACTCAGCAGTCGGCCGATCCGTGATGGCATGGGCGGTGGTACAGATTTATTGCTGTTGTTATTACTGTCTTCGTTGTTTTCTTTCAAAGGTCGTGCACTAATACCCATTGTCAGGCGCGCAGTCCGACTCTCGCTCGGCAAACGTTTCTGACGGAACACTGATGCCTTTGGAGGCAACGGACGGGGTTTACGTCCAGGCCCATTTGACAAAAGCACACGTGGCCGAGCCGCAGGCTTGACTTGTTGCTGTGATAATGACGACTTGTCTTCAGAAAGACGTCCCGCAGAAGCCGGCCGAGGTTTCGTAGGTGCCCGTTGGCCGGCCGATGTGGAGCGAGACGGGATATTTTTACGAGACCGGTCAATCTCATTGACTGACTTGACTGCATCTGCACGACGTGTACGGTTCCGATCCAGTCCACCACCACCACCTCCACTAGTACTACTAGTAGTGGTGGCGGTGGTGGTGGTATTGCCATTACTATTATTTACAGGCTTACCGATCTGAGATATACCGGCTGGCATGGTGTAAGAGCGTGACATGGTCTTGAATGGAACTGGTTCCGTCGACTGAACCTTGACTTTTGGAGTTTCTGCATGTAGGACAGGTAATGTCCACTTGAGCCACGGTAAACGAGAGCCTTGGTTACGGTGCGAGTCTAGCATTGTCTGTCGCTTGCGCATCACGCTATCAATGCGTTCTTTGGAGGGCATTGCACTGGTCTCACTTGCCACAGCAATAAAGGAAGGAACCGGAAGTCTACATTGCCGACCAGGTATAGGAACACTGATTTGAGGCACGTGTGATTTGCGGGAGTTTGGTTTAACATGAGGAGAAGAGTTCATAGTGCTTGTGGATACAATGATGTCTTCTTGGCGGGGTAAATCCGATGGTATCTGGTCTACTACTGACACTGTTGTTGTTGATGTTGATGTTATGGTTCCGGTTTCTGTCGATTCTGTTGTTGTCTGAATTGCCTGAGGTATTGTGGGTGGTATTGTTGATTGTTGGGCAGATGCTTTTATGGTGGTTGATTGTGATTGAGTAAGTGTGAGGTCAAGCTCATTAAGAGCCTCGAATGCCTTTAATTTCTTAAGAGCATTCATCATCACATCATCGTCTTCTTCTTTTTCTTTTTCTTCTTCCTTTTCAGTTACTCCTACTCCTACTCCTACTACTCCTACTACTGATGCTGCTGCTGCTGCTACATCGTTGGTGACGGCAACATGTGTGGTATGCTCGGAAACAGATTCTGAAGGTTCTGATCCAGACAAGGAGGATATATCGTGGTCGAGCCGCGTGGCAGGGTAAAGGGCCTCTGGCTTGTACGCACACAAGAATGGGTGCTATAATAGGCAATAACATTGTTAATCAGTACAAAAATAAATAAATAAAATAGAAAAAAAAGGAAAGTGATATTTGGGAGTGAAAGTGAGAGTTAAAGAAAAAAGGAAAGGGCCAATGGTAATGGTAATGGTAATGGTAATGGTAATACTGATACTGATACTAATAAATAAATAGTGTATGGTTTCATATATTTTACCTCTAGGAGATCTTTTGCTGTGGTTCGTGCTTCTGGGTCAATTTCTAAGCAACGATCCAGGAGGTCTTCTAATCCCTGAGGTAATCCTGATGGATAGGCGGGTTTTCCGTTGTCCAGAATGCGTTGTTTAATCTTGGTGAAAACAAGTTTAAAATAAAAAAGTAAAATCAATATTGTGTTGGTTATTTGATAAACAAAAAAAAATATCTCTTTTTGCATTTATTCTATACTTTTCCAACTATTTATTTATAAAAGGAAAAATTGTGAAGACTTTGTGTGTGTGTATACAAGGACTTACTTCTTCTTCTTCAAGCTTGTCATCTTCGTACGGCGCCTTTCCGCCATTCAATATCTCGAGAATAACGATACCTAGTGCCCAGATATCGACTTTGCAACTAACAACCTGTCGATTGACCAATTCAGGTGACCAGAACAAAACAACGCCGGCTTCCTCTACATCCGAGTCAGCAGTAGGGGTTACAGACACTACGCCAAAATCACCTATGACACAACAACAACAACAACAACAAAAATCAACAACAGTACCATGTTTGTTTCCCATTTAGAAAGTCGTAATAAATCTTCAAACAATACAGGGTTTTTATATATATTTATATATTTATAACACCCCCAATACTGCGTGCTGTTCTAAACTGAACAAATAATATATATATATATATATATAGGTAAACTATTGATTGGTGTAGTGTATTTACCGATGACTATAGCATTGGATTCGACGTCTAGAAAGATGTTGTCGCACTTGATATCTCGATGTATGTAGTTATGGCGATGTATTTCCGCTAATCCAGAAGCAATCTAATATCAACCAAGCAACCAATTAATCAATCAATCAATCAATCAATCAATAACAATAATAATAATAAACGAAAAAGCTCTATTCTTCTTCTTCTTCTTCTTCTTCTTCGTATTTCTTCCTTCCTTTTGTGTGCCTTGAATAACCAAAAAAAAAAAGAATAGATGTCTTACTGAGCTAATAATGTACACTAATTGACCGATCGTAAGTTGATGGTCAAACACGTATTGTTGTAATGAGCCTCCTGTGCAAAGTGGCATGACAAGATAGACAAATTCTTGATGAAGGTAGACGGCATATAGCTTGAGGATGTGGGGATGAACGCATTTTGTCATTGTGTAGATCTCGTTCTCAACGAGTTCCTTTGGCATCACAAACATATCTTCATGTTGGTTTTCTTCAACTAGGTATTTTTTGATGGCAACTCGGCCGGCTGATTTCTTCCGTTCTCTACATTTGTATACACCGCCCTGTGCACTGAACCAGGTTGGCTCTACATCCAGACCTTTGTAAAAGAGTGTTGGATCCGAGCTGTAAACAGGGATCCCATTAACGTGCTGCATCGGACAAGATTAAATAAAATAAAATAAAATAAATTCAACCGTTGAAAGACAAGCAAGCAAGCACGTTTAAGAGAAAGAAAGAAAAAAATGAAGGAAGGAAGGAAGGGAAGGAAAGGAAAGAGGGAAAAGAAGAGGGAAAAGAAGAAAAAGAAAAAGAAACCAAATAAGGGGCGGAGAGAGTATAGAAATTGTGTGTGTGAGTGAGTGAATGGAGTGAGTGAGTGAGTGAGTGAGTGAGTGAGTGAGTGAGAGAAAAAGACTGAGACTAAGTGTGTGGTTGCAGGTTTTACACAGAGTGTGGCTTATGCTCCGCTTAAAATCCATATCCCTCACAGCTGAGCAGAATTAAAGGTGTAAAATCCTGCTGTGGTATTTCCATTATATTTTTATTATTTTTATTTCTTTACCTCGAGTGGGCTTTATTCGTTCTCCTAGTAAAAAGAAAAAAGAAAAAACAAAACGTATAAATTTATACTTACTTAATATATTCAGGCACACATATTTTTATCATGCTGATAGTATTTTAATACAGAAAAATACATAAATAAATAAATAAAAATAAGCTTACTTTCTACATACATTAGATATATGCACATAATTTTTATAGCAAAATACATAAAATAATAATAGTTGCGTTTTCTGAATTGCATTAAACAATCTACGTGCGTTTGAGAATAGTGATAATGACGCTATTAACACTATTCTCACAATTGATCTCTCGTATGTCTCTCTTTGTCTGTCTTCACAATGCATATCTGGCTTGATCTTTACTACGATGAATAAAGAAAAGTGTGTTGTAATTAAAGAATCTAGGACCAATCTCTTGACTCTCTCTCTCTCTATTCATTTCCACAAAGAATCCAAGCTGATTGTATTTGTACTGTTCTTGTTGTTACTGTCTATCACAAAAATAATAATAATGAGCCATTTAGACCAGGTAGAATATCTGTTCGTCTTCTTTAGTTCTATCTATATCTATTTTTTTTTTGGTTTGTGTATATGAAAAGGTATAGAGATCGTTTTGCTGGTACAGCACTTTTGGGAATGTAAAGATCAAAAGTTAACAAAAGAGCTGTCTCTGTGTTTGTACCTGTCTTATACTTTTATATATAATTTTTTTTTAAAAAAAACAATACCCAATAAAAACACATACACACAATTCTATTATACTATATTGAGTGCCAATCAATTAACACATGTATTTGTATATATTTAGATATACTATATATATATATATATATATATGTATGTATTTAATTGCACGCACAAGAGAATGAATGAGTGAATGAAAGTAAATGTGATACGGTTACGATTATCCTATTACTTTATTCTAGGAAGAAAAGGTATAATTGAATATATAGATATATGCGATGTAATGTAATGTAATGTAATGTAATGTAATGTGTAGAAAGAGAATTCTCTGTGTCTGTCTGTCTGTCTTTCTGCTTATTGATTTATTGATTTTCAATATATAATGGTAGGCATTTTGACTAGCCAATTCTTCTAGATATATATATATGTGTGTGTTTTGGCTGCAAAATGTTTGAAATAATTAGTCTCGACAATGATAATAAATCTATACAACATTTTACACAACTAATCAAAATTCACCTAGGATATAAATTATTATATGATTCTTTCTTTCTTTCTTTGTTTACCTTTTCATTCTACCAAACCAGCCCCCCTTTCTTTCTTTTTGTATTTTATTTAAATAATCTTAGTTATCTATCTCTATGTATATACAGGCCCAATATTTCAATGTTTTCTAATTAAAATTATATTAAATTAAAAAATCAAAATCAAAATCAAAATCAATTGTATCTCTAATTCTACCAACAGCATTTAGGGTGTAATATTTAGAAATCTATTTTTTTTTTAAAAAAAAATTGTGTTATTTATTGTGTGTTTGTTTATAAATATATACATATTGTGGAATGGAAAGATCTTTGAAATTTTGTATAATTCCAGAAATTCTCAATCTACAAAAGAAAAGAAGAGTTGCAATACATTTGTAGTCATGGAGAAATAGCTTAAATTAGGCACAATAATATAAATACATATTATAGCAAGAAAACGGTAGCTTGACAAATAAATCAAAATTTAAAAGTATAAAAAGGTTTGTTAGTATCTTTTTTCTTTTTTTTTTGAAATAAATTTTGAGAGCGTTTTCAGTTAAAACTTTTAAATCCCTGTCAAATTTTTCGTAAAATAAAAGAAATTGAGCTGTTGAAGGCACCACTTTAAACTAGAATTTTAAATTTGACACAAAAGTTGAGATAAAAGTGACTGTTGGAGATGGTCTTAGTAACTAAATAAAATGATCCATGAAATTAAATTCAGAATTTTGTTGAGTGAATTCACAATGGCTCCCACGTACATTTGACCAGATCAATCAAAGAATTCTACAATACACACAGAGAGAGATAAAAAAGAAGTTGTTGTGTTCTTTAGAATAGATAGAATAGACTTATTCCCATGTAATTTTGCGTCTGTTTTTTATTTTTGTATAAAATTGTACAAACACTGAGAGTATTATGTCTTGTATTATTAACATATTTTGGGGATCAATTTATCTTTAGTGCCTTATTTTCATTTTCATTCTTGGAATTAGTTCTTCTTTTGTGTGATAGTTTCACAGGTATTTCGATGTTAGATATTTATATATAGCCATATTATAAAAACAAAAGTCAAAATTAGAAAGAGTATATATACTTGTGCTTGTGCTTGTGCTTGTGCTTGTGTACCGTATATTGTGTATTATATTGAAAAAAAAAGGAAACACTTTATTTGGGTATTGACTGTAATGAATTTGTGTTTATAATAATTATTCAAATATTCAAGAAAATCAAATGCCTATTTCTAACAAGTAAAAGAAAAAACAACATTATCTTTCGTTTTGATTATTTCATAATATCTTATACAAGACTAACAACCTATTTACACATACTTATACATAGTGAGAGACGGAGACGGGGGAATAGGTAAATTGGATACCTACAAACACGCTACTTTTTTTTCTAATGTTCTTCTTCTTCTGATATATGCTACAAGTAATCGAATGAGATAAATACCTATACATATTTCATAGCGTAAGGGATAATTAGTAATATAATTTACTAGTAAGAATATGTAGATTTGACATGCGTAGAGTGAACTTCTTCTAAAGGAAAAACAAAATGGGGCGGAATAATATCTTTGGAGAAAAGAGGGGAAGAAGAAGAAGAAGCTGAATAATATGAATAAGCTAAACGGATGAATAGATGAATTTATTAAACAGGATGAATAATACGATGAACCCAACGCAGATTCCAAAACAATACTAATCTAAACTTGACATTTAGTTTTTGCGGGTTGGAAATTCTTTCTGGTTGCTGTTTATAGGACTATTGATAGCGACTTATCCCTCACCCCTCACCCTTCACCCTTCACCCTTTTATCCTGATTTCTTTTCTAGTGTAGTTGTAAAGTACTATATAGATTATCAAGAGGAATTGGATCTTTCTTGTTTCTTGTTTCAATATCCACAATATCTTTAATGCACTATGATGTATACTATACTATCTATAAAGATCTTGTTTCATTTTATTGTATATATTGAGACGATTTGTAATTTCAAATAGGCAAAGAGTGATATAGTATTTAGATCTAATTAAAAGGGAATAAAGGGCAAAATCACAAACAACACTGTCATCTTAATTACTCCATAAACTTTCTGAATACAGAAACCGTGCTCATCTTATTGGCTTTTCCGAATATATACATATCATACTAAATTTCACACCAAAACACAGCACCACATACACACACATATATATAATTGTCAAGTGGAGTGATTGAACAAAATATAGAATTAGACGGGGTATCTTCTTTTCAAACAAAACCCGAGTATTGACTACAATTGCTGTAACAGTCCTTTTTTGAATAGTAAACCCAGAATTTGAATGTGTAAAGGGCAGCAGTAATAATAAAATATTTGGTAAGAAAAAAAAGTTTAAACGAAAAGCCATAGTAATCAGAAATAACTATGGTAATGTACAGTATTGTATAGTACAATATTTGAAGGCATTGAAAATAATTAAGGATAATAGTGAAATTGTTAAGATCCATGTGGCATCGGTTTGTATTATTTTTTTTTTTGTTCAAAAAGAAAAAAAAAAGGATGTTTTTTTTTGGGTGTGTGTGCGTAGTAATTTCTGTGGGAAAAAAGAAAGCCTGGATAATGGGTTACCTTGAGCATGTTTTTATCCAGATACAGCAAATTGGCGGGGTATCTTCCACTGCCAATGGTCGTACATTGCCACACGAAAATGTGAATAATCACGAGAAACTACACAAGACACTCGAGTAAGACAAATTCAGCCAAATTAAGAATATATATATATATCTCTGTGTGTGTGTGTGCATTGACATTATAGAACGTCAGGTAATTTGGGTGGTGATGTTGTTGAGACACCATAGTCTTTCTATATGTCTCTTTATTCTCTTAAACACACAAGAATTACCACCCCATTTCAATAGACTACAAATGTATCTAGCTATTATTTGACAGACCCACTTTATTTCTATCACTAAGTGGCGTGACTTGTAAACCGCAGCTCATATAATTCTCCTTATTCTAAGTTGCTGGTCAACTTCTTTAAAGTAAAAGACATCATTTGTATTCTTGGTTTGAAATGATAATGCATAATGATAATTCGGTTTACATAAAAATCATCAATTGAAATGTAAATAAACAGAATAAAATAAAATGTATTTCAAACCTTGATCTTGACAAGATAGAAAACGACATTTGAATGCATGTCATAATATATGTATACAATACCTTTTCTTTAAACTACTTTACACAAAAATTAGCTTCGTGGGAAAAGGGTGAGGGGAGGAATAGATCGGGTACAATAGTTAGCTATTTGGTTAGCCATAGTCAAGTATAGTCAGTCCAGTGGCACTACATACATTATTATTATTATTATTTTCACGCACAGACACCCTTAACAGAGACTAAGATACCAAAATGGCAATACAGAGAGAGGCTTTTGCTTTCTTTAATTCTTTCTTTTTCATTCCCACAACTTGGATAACATTCGTAGAATTCCTTGCATAGTAGTCAATACATACACAGAGAGAGAGAGAGAGAAAGTGTATCTATGCGTCTATTTCTTCTTTTCTTTCCCTTCTTTAATCGACGCAACCCAGTAGATTCTCTCAATGAAACTACGGAAAAAGAAGGTCCCCAATAATTGAACAAAGTATAAAGTATATTATTATTATTATTATGTTTTTTTCTGTATATTGTCTTTAGTAATCAATACTAAGCAGATTCTAGTATTCCTTTGAAGGGCTAGTGGTATCTTTCTTCTCTTAGTGGACAAGGGTACCTAAAATTTAACAGACGCACATTTTTTATTATTTTTAAGAAAAATCATGAAAAATACTATAAAAAAATCACAGAATTATATATTTTCCGTAAAATAATAAAAATCTTAATCATAATCATAGTAATTAATGTTGAGAGTTTGGTAATCATCAATTCATTTCAATTCAATACCAACCACCCGTCTATCTATCTATCTATCTATCTATCTACCTCAGATTCTATTGATGGGTGCACATGTCTCTCCACATTATTACCATGTTCATATATTTTAGATACCTACCCCGTTTATTATTACAACAATAATTTACCCATCTTTACTAGGCAACAATACGTATATATAATACTACCAGCAATTCAAATAAAATTATAATAAAAATTACATGTTGGTTTGATTAAATGGAGAACATTAAAGAAGAAATATAAAGAATCGTTAATATCCGGATGAAGATGGGTGTTCATTCCGACTCACTAGACCTAAAATAATATAATAAAAGAAGAAGAAGAAAAAAATCCCCAAAATGCGTGTAATTCAAGTAAGAATTAATGGGTAAAGATAACACGGATAAGGTGGCTAGAAAAAGGTTGTAAAGGGAAAACCACGCTCAAGCCATGGTAGTGAGGAAGGAACGGGTGTTTGCCTCCTGTCTCTAATGATCTGGCTGTCTCTCTGTCTTTCTTTATCTTAATAATAATATTTATATGTATAATATTTATGGAGAGTCAAAAGAAGGAAAGCCAAAAAAATGTTTATTGAGAAATTCACATGCAACAAAATTTGTCGGTTTTTTTTTATTTATTTTTATTACGATAATTATTTCACTGACTGGCTGGCTTGTACTGTATAGTCTGACTGTCTGCATGTTCTGTCTACCACCTGCGGGGTGGAAAGATGGAAGATCGTTTCCAAATTAAAATTAGTTTGTATCACTCTGTCCAACTCCAAAATAAAAAACCATATTCGTATAAATTGGAGCACACATATATAAACCACCAATTACGAAAATCAAATCTGCACAAACCGTCTTCTTTATCCTTTCCCTTTCTACTAATCACTCTTCCTCTTTAAATCCCACCCCTTCCATTCACTCGACGTCTTTTACGACTCAACAACCAACCAATCTAAACACTTTCTTTTCTTAACTTTATTCAATCTACACACTTTTTTTATATATATTTTTAATTCTATAAAAAAAAACATTTATAATATCATGAAGTCTTACTCTTTCGAAATTGGTCCTGAACAACCTAATGGTGGACGCATTAGACGCAGTACTAACGCTGTCGATGGACTTATCCGAGGCCCCGACAAGAATGTCCATACCCTTTACGACGTACTCCAGTATGCAGTCAAAAAATATGGCGATGCCGATGCATTTGGCTACCGCAAACTCGAAGCAGTGGTCGAAGAAGAAAAACAGGTTACCAAGTTTATCGACGGTGTCGAAACCAAGGAAACCAAGATCTGGAAGTACTTCCAATACTCCGGATACTACTACATGTCCTACAAGGAAGCCTCTCGCAAAGCCCACGATATCGGTGCTGGTCTCTACTATCTTGGCATGAGAGAAAAATCCAAAATTGAGATCTTTGCTCCCACAAGGTAAAATAATATATATATATATACGGGTGGATATGTGAATTCTTATGTAGAATACAAAGCAATTCTTCTCCAAATGACACTTTACTAATACTAAAAAAAAATTATCCTTCTTTCTTTTAGTCTCAATTGGATCGTTGCTTCCCATAGTGCTTTTACCCAAAACATGTCTATCGTTACTGCCTACGACACCCTGGGTGAAGAGGGCTTGTTGCACTCTATGAACGAAACCGAAGTCGAGGCCATCTACACCTCGACCGAACTCTTGGGTACTGTTGCCAAGGTTGCCGTCAAGTGCCCTACACTCAAGATCATTATGTACAGCGGCGAGGCTACTCCTGAAGCCATCGAGAAAGCCAAGGTCGGCAACGTCGAGCAAGTTCTTTCGATGGACGAAATTGCTGCCTATGGTCGTGCAAACCCTAGAGAAGCTCGTGAACCTGAACCCGAAGATATCTGCTGTATCATGTACACTTCCGGAAGTACTGGTAACCCAAAGGGTGTCATTCTGTCTCACAAGAACATTGCCTCTGCTGGTGAGAATTTTGCTTTTTCTTTTTTTTCCCAGTGTGTAAAAAACTAGTTAGCTGACCAGCATATTCTCATTTTTTTCTTTAGTTGGCTCTACACACGAGCAATTGCATAGTTATGTCTCTCCTCGCGATAGTATGATGGCCTACCTTCCTCTTGCCCACGTATTCGAGTTTGTTACCGAGCACGCCTGTATCTTCTGGGGTGTCACTCTTGGTTACGGCTCTCCTCGAACTCTGACCGACGCCTCTGTCCGCAACTGCAAGGGCGACATCAAGGAATTCCGTCCCACTCTCATGACCGGTGTTCCGGCTGTCTGGGAATCGATTCGCAAAGGTGTGCTTGCCAAGATCAACGAGTCATCGCCCAATGTCCAAAAGGTGTTCTACAAGGCATTTGCTGCCAAAGCCTGGTTGCAGGAGCACCACTACCCCACATACCTCCTCGACACTGCCGTCTTCAACAAGATCAAGGATCAGGTCGGTGGTCGCCTCAGAGTCGCCATCTCTGGCGGTGCGCCCATGTCTATTGAGACCCAGCGATTCCTGTCGGTCACCGTGTGCCCTGTCTTGGCCGGCTACGGTATGACCGAGAGCTGCAGTATGACTACCCTGATGGTCCCTGAGCTCTATAGCGTTGGCAATGTCGGTGGTCCTCAACCCTGCGCCGAAATCAAGCTTGTCGATGTGCCTGATGCTGGATACCTTTCGAGCAACTCCCCTAAGCCCCAGGGTGAGGTCTGGATGCGTGGCCCTAGTGTGACAAAGGGTTACTGGAAGCGTGAGGATGCAACCCGAGAGGCATTTAGTGACGACGGATGGTTGATGACTGGTGATATTGGAGAGTGGAACGAGGATGGCAGTCTGAGTGTGATCGATCGCAAGAAGAATCTGGTCAAGCTCAGTAACGGCGAGTACATTGCTCTCGAGAAGATGGAGTCGATCTACAAGAGTTGTCTCTATATTGGAAACATTTGTGTCTGTGCTGATTCTTTGCTTCCTCGTGCCATTGCGCTGGTCGTACCACTCGAGCCTGCGATCCGTAAGATGGCCAGACAAAAGGGCGTGGAAACCAATGACTGGGAGGAATTGTGTACAAACGAAGTCGTCAAGAAGGCCGTCCTGTCTGCACTGAATGCCCAGGCCAAGAGCGGAGGTCTCAAGGGTGCCGAGTTGCTGTTTGACATTCACATTGTCAGCGATGAGTGGACTATCGAATCTGGTCTGTTGACTGCCGCACAGAAGCTGAAGAGACAGGATATTGGCAAGAGATATAAGGCTGAGATTGATGAAGTCAATTCCAAGCAGATCAAGTAAAAATCCGACACTCAAACAATCCCTCAACACCAGCCAAACAAAAAACAAATACCCTAACTAACGAACATCCCTCAAGAAGAAACAAATGAAAAAAGATAGTTGGATAGCCAATCTTTTACATTCATCTCCCTTTTGTTTAACTTATTCTTCCTTTATTTTTATTTTTATTTATTTTTTCTCTTTGCAAACTCATTTCTTATTTATTCTTTCTTCTTCATTATAATCCACCCCATTTTAGCTTAAAGACCAACAAAATTGTACAATTTTTCTTGACTTGACTTATATTACACATAAGAAGCAACAGAAGTTAACTTGGAAAGTAACCAATTCATTCATTCATTGTTATTTTATTTCTGTCATTAAAGCTATAAAATAAAATAAAATAAAATAAAGTAAAGTAAAATTCTTTCATAAAAAACCCAAAGAAAAGACCTTAATTTTTTATTTATTTTTTTGGATATTGTTACAAATAATCTAAATTGTGTGGTACAATAAAGAAGACAAAAGAACACAGAAGCTACCCATAGACACAAACACAGGCACAGGCACAGGCACAACAAATCACAAGCACAAGCACAACAGTATAAGTAATGATAACAATCGCAATACGCCTTTCTTTTGTTCGTCTTCTTCTATATAAAGTATCAGTCTTGTTTGTTCAGGTCCCTAATATTAGTGGAAATATTGCTGTGTAACAATGTGAAGAAGAAGAAGAAGAAGAAAAAGGTTTGAGCTTCTTCACACCTTACATATTTTTTTGGATTGTTGTGTTACTTTGAGGAGCTTCTTTAGTAAAATCGTATATTTTGTTCGGGAGTTTTTTTTAATGGATGTAAACTATTAGCACGATAAAAGGCAGACAAGCCTAGACTGTTGTATTTTATCAAACGAATAGAGAAGTGTGATAGGAAAAAAAAATAATGAAATTAAATAAAGTAGTGTCCCGAATCAATCTAAAAATCGAGTTCCTTTTGGGACACACTGCTGTATATGTATATATATATATATTGTGGTGCGATCGAATAGCACCTGATATCAAACGGAAGTAATAGAAAAGACAGCTTGAATATAAACTGATTAATTACTAGTAACTTCAAGTGTACAGTGAATCTGCCCAAAATTATACAGTACAAGATTATTTATACGCTTGTATGTATGTGTGTTTCAATATTATTCTTGTGATATTCATATCTTTGTGCTCCACTCTTTATATATATGTATAAAGTTCAGTAGAATACATGCCTACATATCTTGACTCTGAAAGCTAACTAGCTAGTGAGTTTTATGTCATATGCTGAGCTCATCATAATCATTATCCTTTTTTATTGTTAATTTGATTTTGGTTTCAAAACCCTTTGCTCATCTTTCTGATCGGTTAACTCTGTATAACACTTTTATATCTGTCGTAAATTACAGGCTGAAATTGCTATCTGCTAAAAAAAAATATGTATCCCTTTTAGTTAATCACAACTAAACAAATTAACTCTTATAAAGTTAAAGAAATATATAAATATAGTAAATATATGTATGTATTATTTTTATTATATACATATTAAATATACTACTACTACGGTTGCTGTTGCTATGGTTATTGTTGCTATGGCTACTGTTTTTACGGTTTCTACAGTTACTGCTATTGGTATCATCATTATCATTACATTTATTATTGATTGAAGAATACTACATGATCTTGTATTAGGGAGTTGCCTATACTTTACTTTTAACTTGAGTGAGAGAATAGCATCAAAGAGAGTGTCCGTAGGATTAATTAATACATATGATTAATGGTCAATGCTTATTTCTTTTTCTTTTGGATAATTGCAATTCCTATCACCACTAATGTTATTGATAATAAAGAGAAAAATAAAACTTGTTTATGATTCATATAAATATATCTACTACTATTATTATTTTTTAAAATAAAATAAAATCTATTTTAGCTTTTAATTATCTAAATATACATATACAATAACTATAACTATAACTAGCCATGATGTTGGTATGATTATAATTATATACATAATAATAATTTGGTCTGATCTTTGGGCTTACATTAAAGAGCTATAAATTATTATTTCTTTGTTTATCCAACCTATTACTATTACTAATATTTCCTATACTTAATCAGATAATATATATCTCTCTCTCATATATATATATCAAGCCTTGATATTTTGAATTGTAGTTCAATAAAATCTTAGAAAATCAATTTCTATATTTTATTTATATTTTTATTTATTGTATATAAGTATATGGGTAGGTGATTGGGTGTGTGTGTGTGTGTTTTTGGTATGTGCTTTAACAAGATCGGTAACATCCTGTCCAGAATAATATATATTGCTTTTTGGTTTACAAACATGAGTTATCCATCAAAATGGTGTAGCAAGCTTCACAGTTTCTTTCCTTATTCTTCTTTTTTGTTGTTGTTGCTTCCATTTAATATATAGATATGGTATTTTGTGGGTAATTTGCCGTTATCGTTGCCGTTGTCACTGCAGTTACCGTTGTCATTGTTGTTGTGGTTATTGTGAGTTGTTTTCTGATTTTTGATTTTAAAATAAAAATCCCAAAAAAAAAGAAGATAGGTGGAAGCAAAGGAAGAGGGTTCAGGCTAATTTGTTGTCCGGTCGTAAGATTGTGTTTTTTGTGTTTTTTGTTTTTTTTTTGTTTTTTTTTGTCATGGGTGAGAAATTGAGGGATCGTTTGGTTGATCGGTAATAATGGATCAGTGGGGACAAAAAGGAGTGCGATTCGCAGCTGACACTATACAATCGACTGGTTGGATATGGGAGTCTGGAATGGGCGCTGCATTTGTTTGAGAGACGATCGAGCACAATAGAGCAAGAGTTAAAGAGTAGACGTTGATCTTCATTGAATAATATATATAAATATATAAAATGGCGACCGGAGGAAGTGTATCTGAAGGCCAAAAAATAACAGTGAAAAAAAAAGATAAGAAAGCTGATAGTACAGAGAGTGTGAGAGAGAGATCTGGAGAGAAATTATAATAATAAGAAGAAGAGGAAATCAAAAGAGAGCAAAAAAAAGAGGTACCTTTCTGTCAGTCAGGCCAGTCTCTTTTAAAGCTAATTTCAAAGGCAATGACCCCTTATTTTTATTTATTTATTTATTTATATTTTATTTTTCATTCCTTTCCTCTCCTCTCCTAGAGTATAAATGCCGTGTAGAATCCCCATGCTGTATAGATAATTATATATTTTATAATACCATTAAAATAAGGGTATTAATCAAGCTGTGGTATTAAGACATGGGGCAATGCCTTGTTCCATTCAACTCTTTATTTTTGGAACCTACCTTGAAAGCCTAATTATACCGCTCTTTTACTATATTATATTACATTATATTATATTATATCTATTCATGGTTTATCGTCATATACATACATACATGTATACACATAAATCCAGTATCATTATTATTAATATCTCTCTTAAAAAATGACTATTGTTCTTTTTTTCTCTCTCTTAAACTTTTTCTTAATATTATTATTAATGAATTTGCTGTTACTAATTGTACTTTGCCTAAGCTAAATTCTTCTTGGCCTAGACCACCCCCCAATCCTACTATTAAAATGACCCCTCCCCATGATGACTGACTACCATGCGTATATAACTATATTTAGACATTCAAAGTAGACATGGCTATTATTATTATTATTATATCCATGTGCTTGTATTTGTGCGTGTGTGTCAATCTAATCTAACCGTGCGATTTGCCTTTGCATCTTCTCTCTCTCTCTTTACATTAATAGAAATCTTGTACATTCTGGTTATTAGTCAGATCTTTAAAAGCTTTATTCATATTATTATCACTACTACTGTTACTACTACCATAAGTACCACCATAGTTAATTATATCATACATTGCTTTAATGTGTCATTTAAAGAGAGAGAGAGAAAAAGAGAAAATAGCAGCGAAAGCAACATACGAAACACTAGACACACTAGACACACACACATGTTATAGGGATTAATTATTCTAATGTGCGCAATGGCAGGTTAAAATGAATCCATACATCTTATTTTATTTTTATTTTATTTACCTATTGTTCTTTTGTGACACTAAACTCTAAATGAAGAGAAAATGAACCAACCTCACCATTAAGCATTAAACAGTGCCTTCTTTTTTTTTGAAGATTTATAAAGATCTCTACTTATTATTTTCAACTATATAAATAAATACAGTATATGTATATATACATCATCATTATTATTATTACCCTTCAGATCGTCTTTTTATAAAATATATATATATTACTTGCTCGATTGATCTTTCTCTCTTCTTTATTTTCTTTCATCCATATTCTCCTTATCTATATATTCCTTATAATTTACTTATTTTTAACTATTACTATACATTCATTAATTAATTAACACGCGTGTAATGATCGTATAAACAGGTCTTATGATTTGTCTAGCAACTTAAGTGTAAAACCACAAGGTTAATATTAAGAGAATTAGATAATCTACAAACATAAATTTACTACATTACATTAAATAACACTACACTACATTTAACTGCACTATAGTATACAAGAAATTATACTATTTAATACATGTTCACATTTGCATACACACACACACATATATATACATATATATGTATATATACACATGTACATGTGTGATTGGGTGCATTTAATAGTATCAAACGAGTAAATCCATTTTTATTTATTTATTAAATTTATACACAGAAAAATAGAATATAATATTAACATTCCAGCATCTGCACAAAGCAGTGCTATTCTTCTGTTTGCTTACCTAGTTACCTAGTTATCTGGCTGCATGGTTACTTGGCTTCATGGTTACTGGTTACCTGGTTACCTGGTTGTCTGGTTGCCTGGTTGTCTGGTTGCCTGGTTGCATGGTTGCCTGGTTGCCTGGTTGCCTGGTTGCCTGGCTACCCGGTTATCTGGTTACCCAGTTACCCGGTTACCTGGTTACCTGGTTACATGTTTGTTTGACTAGTATTACTAGTAC